ATATATATATATATATATGTCTAGCGCGCTTCCAAGTATACTTGGCGTTTAAGCACCCGCGATAAACTGATTAAAGTGCACCCTAGTTTGCGCTCGAAACAGTGTTTTGTAAATGCAAGCACAATTTCCTAAACACCGCTGACTAACAAATTCCAAAATAAATGACACTTGAACCACGTCTAACAGCAAGCGAACTGCTTTATAGTACTGCACAACTTCCCAAGATTAAAGTAAGAGAACTCCCTCATCAGACTGGATGCTGTCTACACTTTACAGAGGATAGATTTGCAAGTCAGCACTTCTTTGTTGGCTGGATTCTTATAACTATTTGCAAACCAAACAGAGTTTCCATGGGACAGAGTTGGGTGTTACGTAAAAGCCCATGATCTTCAAGAGGGGTTGTCACAAACGAACAGTCTTGTTACTGGTCTCACCAAAACTTGTTCGTCAATGAGACATTATCACTTGCAACGTACTTCAGGTAACAACTTGCTTTTACCTCCTAGGGATGCGAGTCGGCAAACCGTATGGATGCTAATGGGAAGTCTGATGGTGTTTTGGTAACCACTTGCAGTTTTGTCCCTCTAAAAAGACCATGTGTAAGACCCATCAAGAATGATCCTTTTTTGGGGGTGAGCTTAGCCACTGAATCCGCTTGAAGGACAAATCAGGAATAGCTGTTTTTTCAAGAGTGGCCTATCTCAAGAGAATTCCCCCCAAGGACGGACTGAATTTATCCATGTTTTGGCAAGTACAGATGATATAAAACGTGCGAAAGTGGGGTCGGTTTATTAAGCATTCTGCAGACGAATTTATCTGCATGTGCCATTTGTCAAGACATTTCAGAAGTACATGTATAACCGCTCGCCAGGAGTGTAAAGAATCAACAAAAATTGAGGCTGAGCTATTCGCCAAAAACAGACCATTAATTGGCTGTTTTCATTCTGAGCCACAAAGACCAACCAACTCGGTTCACTGAATTACACACATATTCTCCATGGGATAGGGCATTTCTGAGAATTTCCGGGTTTCTCAATGTGGCTTGAGCTCATCAGGCAATCAGCTTATAGAAACATAACCGCAGCTTTCCACTGCAATTGCCGTTATATTCAAGCGCTTCAAATGGATCTTCTGAGTGCGCGACATCACCGTCAAACGTTAGCTCCTGTCCGGAGTGTTTCCTCTTGGGAGGTCGCCTAACAGGCGGAGTCTTGTATTTTGTGCAATTGCATCCCCCTTTTTTTTACAAATCTTTGACTTGTACTTGATGATCAAAAAATGTGCTATCGCAACCGGGTACCTGCATCCGAAAGGGTGTGAAAAACGTTAAAGTGCAAAACACATTAGATCAAGACCTGTAATTAGTCCATTAAATGGAGCACGTTTCCACCAAAACCATCTACACAACTTTCAACACTCCTCGGGATGTTCAAGATCTCTAACTTTTGGAGGATATAGCTTCTTCAGACACACATCTTCCCATTAGTCGTCAGACAATCCTGATGGGCGGACGGCGGCACTCAATAATGGTCGTAAAATAGTAGAACAGTTCTAAAGTAGAGTTAGATTCAACAGCTTGTTTATTTGTATACCCATAAACTTTAAAAATTGACGAATTTCGTGCAATTTGTGTTCAAGTACACAATAAGGTTGAGGGAAACTGGGGGGGGGGGCGGGGGATTGTGCCTACCTGATGAGTTGCAAGAAGGAAGAAACCAGTCGTCGGCTGTCGATAAAATTTCAAAAACCTTGTGTGTAGTTTCCCTCATGAAAAAATATACTGCGACGTCTGAAATATTGTACAAACTGAAACAGGAAGTGGCCTTTGTCCGGAACAGTCAGTCGAAGAATATCATAAACGAGAGGCTTAGCTGAGTCTCCGGTGAAAACCAAATTGATATGCCAATGAGGGAGTATGTCGAAATCCGTCCAATTTTGG